GCTCCAGCACATAGTGAGTGATGAGATCTGTGTGCAGGTAACAGACCTGTACCTGTCAGAGAACAGCAACGGAGCCACAGGAGGTCTCCTGGCCTCCCAGTCCTCTCGCACGCTCCTCGAGGCTGCGTACCAGCGCAAAGCCGAGCAGCTCATGTCAGAGGAGAACTGCTTCAAGGTAAAGCCAGGCTGGGAGCCATGGTGTCAAAGCAGCAGCAGTGAGGGGGATGCTTTTTAAGAAGGGAGAGGCACCAGTCCTTTTAAAAAGGAGCCTTGTTTAAGCACCCAGAAATGAAGACAACCAACTCCGTCCCAGCCCAAACGAGCACACGCGTCCCCATTTATTGGCCTGTGGGTTAATGCTGCTTCTTCTGTAAGGGCCCCTCAGAAATGAGGTTTCGAGGAGAAATGTGTTTCCCAGAACAGTAAGGAATATCCCCTGTGCTTCATAGCAGCTTTGGGCTGGAACATGCTGACTGCTTGACTGCCACTGCTTTTAATTTGTTAGCTCAGACTCTTCCGTTTCTCCGGTGTCTGTGTTGTCAGCAGTGAGGAGATGTGCTGCTACTGGCTGGGCATGAAATCACTGCTGCCTGCATACATTGCTAATAAACCTGTGCTAATCAAATCCATACTTCCCTGTCTGAAGAGGCAGGGAGTGGTCAGGCCCTTTCTGATCCGGTAAAGTACTTTGGACAAAAGCCTGAGTGTAAAATATCTCTTCCCTTGCCCTCAAACTTAATTTGGGGGCTCAAGAAGGTTTTCCCTTAAAACTCTGCCAATTTGCCTCATTCTCCCTTTGCCCCAGTGAGAAGTGAAGGTGTTTGGTTTCTTTTTTCTGTTCCAAACCTTTTACTGAAGTCCCTTCTGCTGTTTCTTCATAGCTGATGTTCATTCAGAGCAGAGGTCAAGTTCAGTTGACCATTGAACTGCTGGACACAGAAGAGGAGAACTCAGATGACCCTGTGGAAGCAGAGGTAAGGGCAGCTTGTCCACAGAGGTGTAATGGTCAAGGGTGCACTGGACAAGAGTGTCCAGTTTGACTGGTGGTGTGGTCCATTAGCACAAGATAAACATCAAGGACATGCTGTAAACCTTTCAGTGATGTGAGTAGGAAAACCCTTTTTGGTTTAATTTGTATTGGAAAACCTTCAAAACCCTACAGAGAAATGTTGTACCTACCTTTTTGGGGATGGGATGCACAGAGCCTTCAAAAGTGACCTAGTGTTCATCCGTATGACTTTCAGCTTAGCCTCCCACGTTGTTTGGTGGGAAGGCACTGGCTGATGTGTGCTCTCTGCTTGCTTCCAGCGCTGGTCAGACTATGTGGAGCGGTACATCAACTCCGATTCTACCTCCCCTGAGCTCCGGGAGCACCTGGCCCAGAAACCTGTCTTCCTGCCCAGGTGAGTGCCAGACTCTGCTGTGGAAGGACCTTAAAGCCCATTTAGCCCAACCTCCCCTGCCACGTCTAGGGACACCTTCCACTAGACCAGGTTGCTCCAAACCTCATCCAACCTGGCCTTGAGATCCACCAGCTACATCCAGGCTGCTGGTGCCAGAGGGTGAGCACTCATTCCAGGAGGGTTTCTCTGGTTTGCAGGAACCTGAGGCGGATCCGCAAGTGTCAGCGCGGTCGGGAGCAGCAGGAGAAGGAAGGGAAGGAAGGAAACAGTAAGAAGTCCATGGAGAACGTGGAGAGCTTGGACAAGCTGGAGTGTAAATTCAAACTGAACTCCTATAAGATGGTGTACGTGATCAAGTCTGAGGATTACATGTACAGGAGGACCGCGCTGCTGCGAGCTCAGCAGGTAGGAAGGAGCCAGCAGGAGGGCTGGGATGGGCCACTGGTGCTTTCTGGAATCCAGGGCAGGGCAAGGAAGTGTTGCCTCTCCAGTGATTTTTGAGCTGTAAGGGTTGTTGGGTTTTATTCAAGATCAAAACAGCTTGTAGACTCCAGATCGGCTGAATTCAGGAGGATTTGGTTGGAGAAAACTGATTTGATCATCTGAAGGGTTTGACACTGCCCTTTTCTCATCCCATGGGAATATTTCCATCAGCTTTAGTCATGTATTTAGGTCTATAAAACAGCTACTTAGCTTATTTCTTGCCGATGAGACACACACAATGGTTTTATTTCATTAGCTGTCAAGCAATTCTGTGAAACTTGCCTCTGTGGCAGATGAGAGTGTTTAATTGCAGTAGAGACTCTTTGAAACACTGATACTGAGGAATTTGATTGGATTCCATCTATCCCATTCAACTGGCACAAGCCTCAAGGAAAAGAAAGCTCCTGAAGAGGATGCTGTATGCCAGTGCTCTTCACAGAGAATGTGAACACAAATTCCTCAAGTGCTATGTTTATATATATATATATATAGCATGCAGCATAGCCTCTTGGTTACTGGAAGGAGCTGCAGAAGCCACATAGGGGTTTGGGTACAAATCTATTGGATTTAGCAGTTAACACCAGGCACAGTCAGTCTTTGAGAGAAGAACAAAACAAACAAGAAAATCCATAAGTTTTAATCCAGAGGTTTAATTATGTTGGCTGTTTTCAATTATGACTATAGCCATGGCTTTAAACCATCTGTCCTGGATTTTTGCATTCCTAAGGCAGATGCTCTTACTCAAAAACGTGCAGTTTTCCCCTCTCCTGATGCATCTGTTAAGCCAAAGCTTCTCAAACCTTTTAGACATGACCTGGGTCTGAATTTTCTGGAGCAGTTGTGTCCCTGATAGGTGTAAAGCACAAGGGATTGTGCCCTTTCAGTCCCCCTCAGGGACTGGGAGCAGACTCTGAGAGCTGGGAAGAGCAGGACTTTTCTGGCCCTGGGAGCTGGAGGAGGAGGAGGCAGCAGCGGCATCTTTTGGGCCATGCAGAAGGGACTCTGAGCTGGGCATGCAATTTTCAGACTCCATGGGATATGGTCTGTGTCCTCTGAGAGCTGCTGCATTAAACAAAGGCATAATAAAACTTTTGGTATTTCTGAGCTGATTTTGCCACTAATGAATGTTCTTGGAGAGGAGACCCAGGGAACCTTCACATCTTTCCCTCTATCGTTAGAGCCCAAGTCTGTGTTACAAATTCTCTCTAGGTTTGATCCCCTTGCTTGTGTCCCCCAGCAGCTGAGCTTTGTGCAGTGCTGTAGTTTGGGGCCAGATCTGCCTTTTCCTAACACCTCTCCCTGTTTCTGTAGTCCCACGAACGAGTGAGCAAACGGCTGCACCAGCGGTTCCAGGCCTGGGTGGACAAATGGACCAAGGAGCACGTGCCCCGCGAAATGGCAGCCGAGACAAACAAGTGGCTCATGGGTGAAGGATTGGAGGGCTTGGTGCCCTGCACCACCACGTGTGACACAGAGACCCTGCACTTTGTCAGCATCAACAAGTACCGCGTCAAATACGGCACGATATTCAAGACACCCTAGGAGAGTCCCCCGGGGCGAGGGCAGAGCCCGGGAGATGTGTGTGTGTGCGCATCCAGGGAAGGAGGAAGATGCCTTTCTCCCCTCACTGTGTATCTCCATAACACATGGCCACTTGACTAGTGCGTGGCTGGTACAACCTGTCACCAGCGGGATTCCCACGGGGACACAGCTCTCCACCTGGGACCCTTTTGGGTGGGAAGGACCCTTCTCTGAACTGAGCCATCCCAGAGAAACACAACGAGCTCGTACACACCAGCAACGTTGAGGCTTTGACTCCCTGGAGAGCCCTGAGCAGCGAGGGAGGAGAACTGGAGGTTCTCCACCACTGGACCGCTTGGATGTGTCCCCAAAATCCCCAGGTGCCTGTCGCCACCGGATTCTCCTCCCTCTTGGGGCAGCGGATCCCGTGTTCCTCTCGCTCCCTCTCCTCCCTCCCAGGCTGGACTCACCCCGTGCAGATCGGTCTGTCCTTTCTAGTGCCAGTGGAACTGTTTTATTTTTATTTTGGGTTTTATTTTGTTTCTTTTTTTTTTTTTTTTTTAGCAGAGAACAACACAATTTTAACATGTTCCCCTCCTTTTTTTTTTTTTTTTTTTTGTACCTGCTTGTTTACTAGTCTCTCCTAGTGCCATGCACCAGCTTTTCACACACATGTACGTACACACACACAGCAGAGAACAACACAATTTTAACATGTTCCCCTCCTTTTTTTGTAAATAAATGTACAAATTGTCAATTTTTTGGGGTTTTTTTTTTTTGTTTGTTTGTTGTTTTGGGGGGTTTTTTGGTTGGTTTTTTTTTTTGCTTGTTTACTAGTCTCTCCTAGTGCCATGCACCAGCTTTTCACACACATGTACGTACACACACACAGCAGAGAACAACACAATTTTAACATGTTCCCCTCCTTTTTTTGTAAATAAATGTACAAATTGTCAATTTTTTGGGGTTTTTTTTTTTTGTTTGTTTGTTGTTTTGGGGGGTTTTTTGGTTGGTTTTTTTTTTTTTTTAATTAAAGGAAGTATGCTTGATGTGCTAGCATAACTGTACTAGCTTCTTGTGTACCATAGTACCCAGGTGGCTTGAGAATTAGTACCGACAGACAGACCGATGGAGACATTTATTACACTTTTTACCAAAGGGAGTTATCATTGTAGTGCTTTTGTGTGGAAACTTTTTTCTCCTTTTTTTGTAAATAAAAAAAATAATGTCTTTGTTCTTAACTGGAGGAAGACACTCGGTCACCCACAGCTCTGTTCCTGGTCCAAAAGGCACCGTGCAGCATGCAGTCCTTGGAAATGGGGGAGGGATGAGGGGAGGGAAGGGGAGGAATAAATGACCAATTTTTGTAAGATTGGCTTCACGATCTGAGAGGGAAAAGCAGAGGCAGCGTGTGTGTTTGGGGGTTAAACAACCCAGGTCTAAGCAGCCTGTAAGAGATATAAATATACAGTATATAAAGTTTTTTAATTTTGGGGTTTTTTTTGTTGTTCCTGGTGGGTAGTTTTTATCCACCTCGTCTTCCAGCTCCAAGGATCTTCGCTTTTGAGAAGTGTTGCTGAGCTATTTAGCTGGGGCTGATTGTGCTGATGTCTTTTTTCCCTCTCTGTGTTGGACAAAACATAAAGGGGGGAGAACCAAACCTGTGTCTGACAGAGCTGCTCTGTGTGTGTGTGTGTGTGTGTGTGTTTGTGTGTGTGCGTGCAAGGGTGAGGGGTTGGGGGTTCTCAGTGCTTTTCACTCCTGAAAATCCACATATGGGATATATATATATATTTTTTTTAAGTAGAGAAGTTTAATGCTGGCAGATAATTTAAAACCTGGGGGATGATTCTGATTTTAAAAGCATATAGAAGTCTGCATGGACTTCGTAAGCCACGACAGCCACAACTGCACTGTCTCTCCTCCTCAAAGGAGGCAGCTTTCCTTGCACAAACCCATGCTGCCTGTCCTATGCACCTGGATCGGCTTCCGACGGCCCTGGACTGGGAGCCACGAGCAGGACTTTGCCCCTGCTGTATTCCCAAGACAGCAGGTTGTCTCCTCCTGGTGCTGGAGTTCCCTCTCTCCCGTGGGGAGAGGTTGGGGAGTGGAGCCAGGGTGGAAGCACATGGCCCCAAGGGGCCTCTACTCATTGGCAGCCAATGTACAGCAGGCAGATCTAGACCAGGAGCCTCCTATGGAGAGAGAGAAAGGGATGGAAAAGCCCAGCAGGGAATGTTCACACTTTGCCAGCAATAAATTACCTGTCTCGTTTCTCCTCCTTTGTTGTCACCAGGCATGAAGGGGCTCTGGTGTGTCCTCTTCCATTCCAAAGGTGTCATGTGCTTTCCCCATGATATTTCCCCCCTGTATTTTATCCTGTTGTATGCTCGAGGTGATCCAGAAGGGAAAATCTTGGGTAATTTAGACTTTTGACCAGTTTGGAAGTAACAGCTGCTGCTGCTTGATGGGTGTCTTGTCCCAGGGGCCTGTGCCTGCATGTCACTGAGCCAAGGGGATTGGTGTGGGACACACCGTGGGAGACCTCACTCCATCTGACATCCCAGCTCTGCTCTCAGCCTGTACAATAGCAGAGGTTTGCTTGGGGCTTTTTAAATTTTATTTTATTTTTCCTTTTCTTCTTTTGATTTGCTCTTGCTTTTTGTATCCTGTAATGTGACCCTTGGCCCCACCACCCATGTGATTTCTATACCGATGTTGTAAACTTGACTGTAGCGCAGTATGTCCATTAAAATATCAGGGCTAAGCATCGTGTACAGATTCTTCCTTCCCTGCTGACGATATGCAATGACACTTCGGGGCGGGTCCGAGGCAGCGCTGGGGTTTGCAGGCCGAGAGGAGGATGCAGCATCGCTTAGGCCAAGGGACAGAGATGACGTGTGTTCTGCCTTCTCCTCCCCGGGGCGGGCGCGGCCGTGCCCGGGGCAAGCTCTGAACCTCTCCGAGCATC